AACTGAGAAAAATTCCGAGAAAACTGAGAAATTCATTCTGTTGCTGTTTATGAACTCTGCAGGCAAGGCATGCCTGGGTACACATTTACATCAATGCCAGTGGTACCTCAAAAGACAGGATGGACAACCTCCACTCTATTTTCATCACCTTGAAGGCAGGCACTATTTTAAACTTCTCTCCTAATGAATGAGTTATAAATGAGAAGATGTTAAAAAGAATAAAATCTGACAGGCGTTACAGAGGAAAATCTGTACTTAAATCAGCATACAGAATAAAAACAGAATATCATTAACTGACTTAATTAAAAGGTTATGCAATACCAGTGCACTTACTGTGGTCACGTTCAGCAATGAGAGGTACTTAGAGGTGAGAAAACTAGTAACATAAGTACAAAACCCTAATACTGCCGAGCTGAAAAGCATTACTTCAAATACACTAATTGCAAATGCCATACAGTGACATATTTTTCACTTTAGTATCACACTGCCATGTGATTTAATCTCTTTTGCCATCTGCCTTAAACAAATGTCAGTGTTACTCCCATGAGGAAAAAATATTTTCCTTGCGATTCATGTCCAGCAAGTATCCCACAGATACTGATATCTAATGGCAGAGTACGAAACTCAGCATTCTGTGGTACAGAGGAAACAAACTTCCCGTTATCACTTGCAGCACTAAGGTCTTCCTCCTTCTGTTAAATCAATGTGACTCAGAACCTCAGAGATATGGGTGCTGATGTTACTCAGTTACATATTCTTACATATTTCCATTTCATTTTATTCTAATAATAAAGTTGAGCACAAAGTGGGCTGTGTCCTTTGCTTACCTTTGCAGCCACCCACGTTAACAGCAGAAAGAGTAAGTTGCACACAGAGGGCAGCTTCTTAATATGGAATTAATTGGATGTTCCCAGATTTATATTTACGCAATTAAAAGACAAAGTTTAGAATAGATCAACACCACATCTACACAGGAGGCTTTCTGAAAACCCCAGAGATCCATAGTCATGTCATCCTATGCTTTTAAGAGTTTCCCTCTGTTTCTCAGGTTAAAGAACTGTGGGAATTCACTCTTTATGCAGAGCAAAAAATAAAAAAGAGCCACTAATGCAAATGCTGTGAAATACAGTGGAAAAACAATATCAAAATAGGCCAAAAAACATCTTTCCATGCCCATTCCACAGGCAATACAGGGCTGATATGCTTTTGGCTACAAAGAATGCTGTTGAAACACGAGACCAGTAAAACATGCACTGTGTAGAGTATAATTAGTTCAGAGAATGAGTGAATCAAATATATTCAAAAGGAGCTCATACAGTTGTAACATTACAGAAATTAACTGACAATGGTCACACACACAGAACTGTGATGACGTTTTTTGTAAAAGTCATTATTTAACAGGTTCCCACTGATGAAAGTCATCTTATTCAACAATGTCCTCAATACAGGAACCCATCAACCACGTCCAGTGCTGGCAGTAATAGCTATGCTTATTTGAATAAGGCCTAAAGTTATTGTGCTACAGCCCTTGCCAAAATCCTGTGCTGACTTGGAACCACAGGGAAACAGCTTGTACATTTTCAGATGGCTTTTAACACTGTAGTACAAAGCATCTTTCATGACATTTTTATCACATTTCTATCAGCTTTACATTATACAACTTCCGACATCAACTGAGACAACAAGGAAAGAACCTAGTCCGTGCAGAACCATTCTCAATTTCTTTGCTGCAAACACATTCAGATACCTCTATACTACGTCACTAGGCCATGACTGATGTCTAGGTAGCCAAAAATAACGTGTCATTCTAAACCTCAATTAAAATATTATCAATGGAAAATAAATTAATCTCATCCAGTGTTTTAAGAACAGGTCCAATGAGGCAATCGCAATTAGCACAATCTACCTTTAAGAACGAAAACGAATTTCCTGTAAAGGACAAAGTTGATACTACACATTGTTTCTGGGACTGGCTTAGGTTTTTGTTTTTTTCTATTGAGAATTAAATACTTTACAACTCTAGAAGACACTTTTTTCAATAAACAGATTCTTTTTCTACAAATTATTTCATTTTCGTGTGTGCATACACGCAAATGTTTGGGAAAAAAAACTCCCATAATCAAGTTTCTGTGTAGTTTTACAGACCTATTGTTTTTCAGCTATCTTCCTGTAGATACAAGATCTGAACAATTAAAAAAAAAAAAGAAGAAATGAAAGAAAAGAAAGGCAATGCTATTTACTACGATGTCATTCGCTTCATAGCTTAAAAGAAATAAAATTGCATTGATTCCTGAAATCAAAGAGCTGAATCCATAGGTAAATATTTAGACACTGACTTCAGCTAGTTAACCTGACATGTCAATTAAATGCAAGATGTAATTTATTCAATTCTCAGTCTGATCTGACACAAAACCTATACTTCCCCAATTCCTAATTAGCCAAAGTACTTGTCTTCTTTCATGCAGATAATTTCATAACCATTAGTGTAAAGCATTAACACATTTTTCTTTCAATCACATTTTCCTCCTGTTGACTGACACACCTTTTCTAATGAGTGTACTTGTGCCAGTTTCAGCTTTGTGGGAACTTGCCCCAAGGTCCTCAGTAAAGTTCACTCCCATACACATAAAGCAATCATACATAATCATGATGCTAGCTATGTAAAGACACATGTCTTACCTTAGAAAATATGAATGGAAAATTATGCACTGGAGGAATGCAGTTATTTCCATTTAAACTGCATAGTATTTAACATACAGTTGAATGTGTCATGATTAACTCCTCAACACAATGTTCAGGTAGTGTTTTTCATTAAATAATTTACAGTTTTTTGGCAGACCAGGCTTCTTATATAATGCCCACTAATTCTATGGAAGTCAATCAGAATCAAGAAATTAAATTGGTGTATTGAGCACACAAAATTATTATATACAAGATCTGGATATGTATGTCACCCATACACTGCTATTTTCAGTAAGATATACTCAGTTTGTGGGGGTTTTTTTAATTCTATTTTAACTTCTCTTTTAGGACTGGTTTTGGAAAGATAAATATGATATGCATAGAGCTGGCTGAAAAAATGCAGAAAAATAAAATGTCATATTTTATTGACATGAGAATGTGGAAAATTTCAACTAACTTTAAAATTCTGTTTTTTTCCTCACTATATCCCTACTGATTTCCATTCACAGCAATCAGAGCTGACTTTATCCTGCAGAGGAGTCAGGAAGAAAAGACACAAGCACTTCTTAAACTCTGCTAAACTCTCCGGGGAAAAAAACATGGCTAAAAAGCATCACAAAGGAATCTGCTTCCTAGTGTGAAATGTTTAAGCTATTCAGCTTGATTCCTATCGCTTAGAAATGAGTGATTTACTTCACTTCCATGTACAGAGCTTGCTGGAGTTTCAGATGCCATCTGTCATTCAGGAGGAAGCTCAGCGTTCTTCTCATTCCCTGCTCCCCATATGGCAGCTCCAGATGCATGACAGAAGCAAGCTTGAATAATGCAGACTCATGCATTGCATGACATACTTGTCACCTTCCAAGTCACAAATGTGACTGTGGAATGCGATGGTGCATCCTTCAGTGGCCAGGCTCCCTTCTTTCCTGTCCTAGCAGCGCACCAGGGGCTTCACAACACAACCTGCACCACCAAGATGCCACAAGAACTTGCTGTGCTGCTTTGCCAATGGTGCTCTGTGACTAGGAGAAGGCAGTAGCTGCAGGTTTTACAGACCTGACTTTGCCAGAGAGATTTCTGCTAGCCTGCTGCTCCTCCCTCTCAGGAAGGTGTGTAGCCAGCACTGTTCCCCAGGCTGCTGGGGCTACACTGGTGCCCTGTTACCAGAAGGGCATCTTTACACTGAGAAGCGCCACCAGCTCATCTGAGAATCAGTGCAATTACACCAATGCAAGCCTGTTTAATTAAACTACACGCTCTCATGTGGGCTTAATGTAGAGAGTATCCTGGTTAGCTTGCATCTGAACACTTGCCAGTGCAAGCTAATCCACTTTTGGGAGGTTTAAACCCACATATGTGTTCCCTTTCAAATTTGGACTACCTTAGCTAATCTGTTGCTAAAATGACAACTTCAATCAAACTAGAACAAGTTTCACCACACTAATTATTTAAGCATTTTTAGAAATACTCATCTCTTTTACTAATCAGCTTAGTTTGCTGATTGTGGTGATGAGAATATTCAGCTTTGAATACAAAATGCTTTTCTGGCAATCTTTATATTAAGAATGATGTTATAGTAAGGCTGTGGTGGATGCCTGCTTAATTCCTTACAAGGAGTACTAAGGAGCAAGTTCCTTAACCAAGGACTTTCCAGCATGTTTGATCTAAGAGTATTAGAACCACTGTACCTGTGTATGTTTTAACTTTTGATCCTACTTAGTTCTGCTGTCCACTGATCTTTGCTGTGATCTAATTAGTGTGCAGCTGGCATGGGGACAGAAGTCATCCCATGCTGCCAGCGCTCAGAGAGATGGGAGCAAGTCAGCTGCAATCTTGATTTGCCATGAGCCACCTCAATCTCGTGGTTGTGCAGGAAAAACCCATCAGATCATTTTAGCTATTACACCAAAAGCACTGTCTTTAATGATTTCTAGATACCGTGTTTTTACATGCTTTTCTACAACTTTTATCATAATGAATGAAGAGGCCACATAAGATCAAAACTAGACTCAGTGTGACAGAAGAGAGATTAGGGTTTGTCATTAATATGGTTTTAAGTCCAGGGAATTCAGAGAATTTCCAATGCAATGCAATGCTAAGATAGCATAGCTTTATGCCAATAAAGAATAGGGATACATTTTTTGCAAAAGCTGTCTATATTTGTGTTTTGTTCTACCGATTTTCTCAGTTGTGCTCAGCAAGAATGTAAAATGGCATGCAACTGTTTCAGCAAAACTGATTACTTTCACTACTGCCAAGCTCCTTTCCTTTCTAGGACTATATTTTCTGCCCATACTACTAAATATGGTATTAATTACCATTATTAAAAGCATCCTTGTTGCTTTTGGAGGAGAAAGACATCTGCTGGTAAGGGCCAGTGGACTTCCACAGTTCATTGGTCAACGCTGGTTGACAAGAAGTATCCACCCTGAGGTCCACCTGATTTTCACAAGTCCTTGCCATATCCGAGTTTGAGATGCCCAGCCCATACACAACATCTTCATAAACAAGAGAAGAATCTGATCTGTTGAGGCCACTTAGAGACACGCGTACTACAGCTTCATTTAAGTAGAATGCATTTTCACCATGTAAGCTATCCAACTGATCGTGTCCCATTATCTGCAGAATAACAAAAAAAAGAAAACAGTATTTTTATCTCTGTCCAGCACCAGAAGAACCCTTATGCCAGGATACCTTCACTTAACTGTCAGAAATGAAGATTCATACCATATAGTGATTTAGTTTCCCAGAAGCTAATATCAAAACATGTTAAATTTCCCATGCACTCAAGAACAAACAGCAGTAATTGGGTATACATTTTCTTGGCTCCTCTCAAAACACAGCAATGTTCTCAGTAATGAGGTTTGGCCATCCAAAATCAGCTAGGTAGCTGGCTCAGAGAGATGGCAAAAATAATGGGCTGGTTCTCAGTCTCCCTGCTCCATCGCTGCTGCTGAAGTATTGGAAAATGCAGGATAGAAAAAGACCAGGGCATGGAGTGCATTCAGGTCTCAGAGTTTATTTGAAATTAAATCACATGTGAGATAGTCTTACACATAACACAGTGTCACAAATGAAACAGTAGATTAAGAACTATTTTAAGCCTGTGGCTCTTTGACAAGAAGAATTTCATTATTTTGTCTCTGTCTGTGACATTCTGGCCATCCCTGCATCTGGCTGTCATCTTTCAACTTTCCCTCCTCAGAAGAGTTCAAAAGTCCCATTGATTAAAGCTGATGGGCAACTTTGCTTTTATTTTATCATGCACTTCTTAAGCACAGCCAAATAAGTCAGTTTTATCACACATACTACACAGTGCCTTCATTGTTTGAGTTGTGTGAGCAATATATAGAAAAGTAATGTTCACGCTATAGTCACAAAAGCTGGATGAAAAGAAGGAGGTCAGAGGCCAATTTTTCATCTTCTCATTCAGGCACAAGCTTAAGACATTGAATGGTCACTGCCTGAGATGGGTCAGCTGACAGCTGAAGAAGTAGGGAGATGATGACCTGAAGAAAAGCTCTACTATTTTTTTCATGAAAATGAAAACCTGGGGAAAAAAAAAAGCTGCTTGAGTGAGCAGGCTTTGAATCCAGGTGACTTGTTTTGATTTTCATGTGCTTTAGAGAACAGTAATGGAAAAAAGACTCTACCCACTGGAGCAAGAGCTTTCTGCATACTCAACTGCAAGAAAAACTATTTTCAGTATGAAATGCTTAAGCAACCTTAGAGCTGCTTTAAACTGCTTTACCTATCAATGACCATTTATTTCACTGTCCAGGCTGGAGCCACATACCAAGGTAATTCCCTTCGGGGCTGCTTCTTTCAGGGGAGCAATATAGCTGATGCTGGGCCTTATAGACAAGGCTTCATGAGAACCAAGCTATTCCTATTCCTACAGTTTCTGCTCCTCACTGGGGACAGCACTGCTGTTCAGGAACAAGGGGAGTACCTGAAAACCCTTCACTAAAAGTGTTTCAAGCCTTAAGCTTTACAATAATATGATTTCCTACAAAAAGCGAGAGGCATGATATATCTTGCCAGAAGGTGGCAAACACACAGGTAAAGCAGAATAAAACACAGGTTTTCATCTCTTGAATTTAATACTCATCAGTTTGACTGTGGCTTCCATGGGACTCCAAGGTCAAAAGCAAGCCCCAGGATATGCCTGAACCACACACTTCCTCATGGTGCTATCAGCCAACAGACATTCTGGCATGGAAGACCATTTGTTAGGGAACATCTCTACATCTTTGCAGCTGGGGATGTAGTTACAGTGGAGAAAAACATACCTCATGGCTCCCTGTGGGCAGCAACAGGTTGCTTTGGAGACCATGCTTCCAGTGCCAGAGGAGTTTCTTCTGCATTTTGATACTGTCCCTTTTTTTCTCCAAAAGTTTCTGCCCTTCCTGCAACCTCTCCAGGCCCTGTTGGAACTCCTGCAACTGCAGTGCAAGCCCCTGGCGGCTCTTCTCCAGCAGCTCCTCCTGGTAGCTGCAGGCCTGCTCCCGTTGCTCCAACAGGCCTGCCCTCACCTCCTGCTCTTGCTGCCACTGCTCGCATTCACGCAGCCAGCGCTGCTGCTCTTGCTGGAACTGCTGCTGGAGTTTGTTGATGTTTGCCAGCTCCTCCCTTTGTTTTTCTGAATTACGGTATTTTTCTGGTTCCAGGGAGAGGGGTATCCGAGAACTATGGCTACGACTGGTCTTCTCATTCTCTTGCAGGAGTAACCTATGGAGCTCTCTGTGGCTGTCCTGGATAGCTAATGCTGCCTAGACACCACAATGAAATCAAACACAAATGTTTAAATATTAACATCCACGCATTTCTGTATTTTTGTTTAAAAACATTATATAAAAATGTTTCACCTTCGTGCAGAGAACTCTGTGTTCATGCCTATACCAAGACATGTTTCTAAAAGCATGCAAACATTTCAAGCACATTTAATGAGGATTCTGATTTGCAGCTGGTGTTATAATATATAATGTTTAGGCTACAGCTGCATGCCTCAGTTACACTTGGGGTCCTGTTCTGTCAGATGATGTTAAGACACAGGAAAAACAATCTTTCATGGTTAAAGAGGGTATTAAAGCATTGGCCTAGGGAATGCAACACTCAGCGAAGTATTCCTAAGACAGATTTGGTGCATACAGAGAAAAGTGCACTGCTTCCTGTGCAGCTCACACAAGACATAAAGATCTCCTTGTAAATCTGCAGCAGTTTAGTCCTACTAACAACCATTCTACAAACATCTTCCAAGACAGCCAGGTCATCTTACTCCTTACATGCACCTGACCCATGCCAGCAGAAATTGGCAGTGTAGCCACGGTTTTGGTTCGAAGTTTCAGTAGCTTTTTTCACAACCAAGAGCACTATATGTCATCCTTCACCAAGGATGTTGTGACATGGCTTCCACTGAAGATTGTGACAGTATCCACTACCAAAATAAAATAAAACTTCTGGTAGCTAAAAGCAAAGCAAGAAAGGCCTAGGCCTACTGATGTGCTTAGTGCACAGTTGCTCCCTGAGAACTGACATGGAAAGCTACTTATGCAGATGTTCCCAGAGAATTCCCTCAGCACCAATGCCCCAAGCTGTCCACTCTAGAAGCTGTCTCTGACTTCACACAATGTGCAGTTTCCACTTTTCTCAGCTTTTCCTCAGTACTAGGCCTGCTAGTACTAGATCACTGCTACGTGAACAGAGCAATGACAGGATTCTCTGCTTGATTCTCTGCACCTACACTGCCAGCATACACAAGTTTTCATGGTCAGAACCATAAGGCACGATTCTGAGCCTACCTTACTGCCACCAGTATTAAGCCATCTATTTTTCAATTTTTACAAAACTCTTCCTGATTTACAAGTTTTTTTTATTTTGCTTTTGCATTGCTTCCACTTAATTTCTAATCCACAACTTTCCAGCATCGCTTGGAAGTATGGTAATATCAAGGTTTAAAAGTTAAACATATTGAAATTAAACATTTTAAAATTGATATTCAAAATTGCACCTAAGGAAAAATAAGTTAAAATGTTCTAACTTGTCAAAAAGAGCCCAACACTTCTGACTAAGGCTCTACAGAATAAAACAATAATGATCTGATGTTAAAATAGCTATAAAGGGTTGGTTGGCCACATAAGTGGCCTAGGTGTGGTTTAGAAGTCACCAGGATAATATTCTAAACAAAATACTTACATCTGTCAATATTTTGAACTATAAATTTCAAAATCTCTACATGGAATGACATCAGTCAAGTTGAACTATCACCTTACTTCTTCCCTAGACATTTGGAGTGTATGTACTTCCTCTCAGGGAGGGGAGTGATCTCCAAGCAAGCATTATTCAGTTCTTAAAGGAATAAATCACCGACATAGAGCAAAAATATATGGTAAGACATCTTGTACAACAAGTAGAGATAACACAACAACTAAAAGTAGTGCAAGATGAAAACAAGCCTTAAGAAGTAAATTACTAAATCCAATTACTCTACAAAGTTGATTGTGGAGTAGTCACCTGTATGCTGTACAAGAGACGAGTTAGATTCTGGATTGCTTGTACAATCTAGAAAACAAAAGAGAAGGATTTTCAAAGTTTTGTTCACTCTTAACTAACTACACTCTGTCTGGGGTTTAAATAAACTCACCTCTGTCCCTGTAGATCCTGAGAAACTCATACTTCCTTCCTAAAATAAATACATGTTGCTTTAAAAACTAGTTCTTTACAATTGTATCATCTAGGTATTTTTTATTTTACTAGTGGAGACATCCACATTGCTAATATATGCAGTGCTGAGTCAAACCTTTTTGTGAGTAGGTGAAAAAAGACAGAAGCAATAACCTATGAAGACTAATAATTCATCAACACTGGAGTTTCCGTGGAAATCACTAGAGATCGTAAGCACAACTGTAAAAACAAAAATATTTCATCCACAATTTTAATCCTCTTGTGACTAAAGCTACACAAAAAAGACATTTCCATTTACTCTTTGTTTACTTGACAATTTTGAAATACAGTAACCAGACTTCTGTATATTGAGCAGAATGGGTTTAGATTACCTCTAGTATGATGAAAAAGCTCATGAATCTTCAGAAATCAAGGCATTAATACTGCAAGAAGCTGATGGCAATTACATTACTGGGTTACTGGGTTACAGGGAGTGTCTTTGGTGTGCAGGGAGCTGAGCAAGGACTGCGTGCCTGCTGTGCACTGGGAAGCAGCATTAGGGCTGCTGTCCACTGCAGCTGGTCTTGCAGTGTGCACAGCCACTTTGCACTTTCCATCCTATTCTTTTTCTTAAGAAGCTTTTTAAATTTATGGGGTGAAGCCACCCATAATCCTTTCTGCACGAAAAACAGCTCCTCTGAGAAAGATAAGGTGAAATAGTGGAGAAATAAAACAAAATCCTTTCTGAGGCTACACTGGAAAGACTTCCTGTATGATTTCTGTTACTTTTTTTTTTTTTTTTTTCAGGAGTGGAGGAGGGTTTGGAGGATATTTGATCATTCTCTGATTCTCCCAAGTTCTCTTCTGAATTTCACTGCAATAACTGGAAACGAAAACAACAAAGTCCAAGCCCCAAAACACAGTGATGATGTGGCTGAGGAAAGGGAACATTAGGTGCTACATTTCCTCCAGCCCTTTCATTCTCCATCATCTCCCTCCATATTTCTGTCCCCATATCTTCACCTCCTCCTCCACTTACTACTACAGTAATGAACCAAACAATTCGCTCTGCCACCAGACACAGAGGACATAATGGGGATACTATACAGTTCCAAGGCAGATGCAAAAGACATCTGCCTGGTACTAAATTTGGTGCTCCTGCACTGGACTGCTAAGATGGGCAGCAGGCAAGGAAGAGGAGGAGTGTGAAGAAGCAAGAGAAGAAGGTGTGGGTGAGGTGAGAAAGACTGTATGAAGGAAGACCCAAAAACTGAACAGAAGTGTGGGATCAACTCTACAATTTTTTTGTTCTCATAAAGCCTGTTTAATTTAACAGAGGAGGTGTGCATAAGGATTAAAGGTTCAGTTAGCTTTGGCATGGCTAAGAGGCAGCAAGTGGCTAACTCAAGCACCTATCACGGTCTCCTAAAGGCAGCACCACTTGAGGACTGGACATAGTCTGAATACAGGCATAGGCATCCTGCTCTAGGTGTCCCTGCTTCAATGGAAGTTGGACCAGATGGACCCAGATGTTCCTGCCAACCTCAATTATTTTACAATTATACAGTGGAAGAATGAGCAAAAGGAAGGTTTAACCAATAGTGATATAGCAGTATCACACCACTTCAGCTCAAGTCCTTTAAGCCCAGGTAAGTCAGAATCAACGTATTCAGCTGTTTAACCTGTGCTGAAAGCTAAGACCATCTCTCTGCCTCTCTTCCCTCTTTGTTAAGGGCAGTAACAAGCAGCAGAGATGTGGACATTCCAATCCTGGTGCAAGCTGCCTGTGTTCCTCAAGCAACCACCTGGAGATGCAAAGCAGGAGCAGGGGGATGAAATGAGGGACCACTTACCACTTCTACCCACTTGGCTCCCTTGCATGGGGAACGGTCTTAGTATTATAATGCACCTAATTCCAGAGCTGGGGGCTTTCACTCTGGCTTTCTGGCTCTCTGCCCATGCTATCTGCCTAAGCCCAGTGCTGCCATCCCACAACCTCAGGGCAGCACAAATAACATCCGAAGGCAGGGGCTGGAGGACATCCCCTGCCTTTGAAAGCCCCTTCGTGTTTTGTTTGCTCGCTCTGCCACCTCCTGGTCAATCTAATTTTGACACGGTAGATGTGATTAAACAGCTGCCCAAACAGTCGAGACCGGAAGAGTAAACGGGGATGGAAAAGCTTGCTTGAGGCCCTCTAGATCCACTGATGCTCAAAGCTAGCTTGAAAGTTAGATGAGGTTGCCCAAGGCCTTCTCCAGTCAAATCCTGGAAATCTCCAAAGATGGAGACTCCACAGCCTATCTGGGCAACTTGCCCTGCTTGATTACCCTTCTCTCGTGGTGATTTTTTTCCTTACGTACAGTTAGAATTTTCCTTGCTTCAACTTGTCATCTTCAACACTCACCATGTTGCCGTGCACCTCTCAGAAAAATGTGGCTCTGTCTCCTCTGTAGCTCCAGTGGCATTTTTAACATATGGGACTACTGGAAATTTTCAAAGTGTAGATTTAGCCCCCCCAACCCCTCCCAGCACCACCACCATTTATTAGGCTATTTTATTTCATTTCATTTAACTTAACTTCTGTGACTCCTTACTTGGAATCATACTCCACTGTTTTTTTCATGCACACTTTTAATGCTGCTCTTCTAAAACAGCAGTCTGGTAGGCAAGATGGCATAAAGCTGAACATGAGGCAAGGTTTATAGGAAGATAAGTAAATTAGTTAGAGTTGTATAGAAAGACTTATAAAGCACAAGGTTTCAGGCATACACCCTTTTTCGGATCTGAATCAGACACTACCCTAATGTTATGTATCCCCTTTTCTTGCAAACTTTTCATTTCATTTCCTCTGTCTTCACCTCTTCCTTTTACTGTTTTTGTGGTTCTATCTACGCCTCACACAATTATACTTCCATTTACTTTCACATTAATTCATGTTGCTCTTGCTCCAGCACTCCTTTCTGCTCCCTTAAATTTGCCATTTATAATTCTGCTCAGAACTGGCTTTTGATTCTGCTTTTTCCCCAGATTTAAGAGCTATAGGACTTTGAAAAATGGGCAGTTTCTCTTCTGATCTCTAATTGCTGTGTTTTATTTTAATTCAAAATTCTGAAGCAAGCTGGTGTTAAGACAATCCATCCTATTTTATATGCTCATTCTCAGGATGAAGTTCTTCCAATATACATGTCTTCCTAGCATTAGCAGAGGTCTCTGTCATTGCAGGAGACTTTCATCATCCTGTGAATAGGAGGAGGAGTAGAGGGAATATTATCAGCTCCACAGGGATGGATGTATCGAATGATGACAGCAGAGAACCAGGCTCTTAAGTTGCCCATAGAAAAGCACTGTAGCTGCCATCACACTCATTGTTCGATAAGCCTGGTAGGAAAACTGTTCTGTGCTTGGATTTATTATGGTTTTTATGTGGTTTTTTTAAAATGTTTTTATAAATTTATTGTTAATTGCAGTGAATTCTCCTAAACTGAATTATCTGGACTTTGATGAAATCTGCCTATCCCACGCTTTAGATTTTAAAATAATCTTTAGATATTCCATAAAATCTGTACAGCTCTTACATTCCCAATGCCCAGAGAGGTAAGTGCAACATGAAAGAGAAATCAGTTACAATACCTTATAGTACACACTGGCATCAGAAATTTCCTTTTCAATAGGGCAAGCACTGAGATCAACTTCAGGTGATTCTTCAACTTCCTTCATTTCTGCATCTAATAAATAAGACCCCAAAAGGATGCAAGAGAAAGAGAAAGGTATCAAAGCATATTCTGACTGCAGAAACAAAGGGTACACTTTCTTACAGCTACTAATGGGATGCTGTAAATACCTAATGCTGAAGGATTCTAGGCTGGCGGAAAACAACATTCAAAGCCAGGATGGCACAAGTTGGACAATCTTATCTTAAAAATCATTAGCATTTCAATTATGAAATATTTCAAAATATAGCCATATTAGTAAACATGCTCTGCAAGTGTACAGAACTCCGTTTGCCTTTGTTTTGCAAGAACTTTATGTTGTACTTTTTACAGTTGAAATAACCAAAATATCAATCCCACTAACAGCTTGGTTTTCATGCTTTCTGACAAAAATTGGCTGCCAGAAAATAGGCCTACACAGCAATATACATTGCTGCACAGCTAAGCAACAAAGACTATAAATATTATATATGAAGATTCACAAATCGGACTCAATAATGCTGACTGCAGACATATGTTATGGAAAAACTGCAATGGATACAGTTCATTCACTTCACATATAATGAAGTTATATGACAATTTACTCAGAGTGTTTGCCCAAAGACAATTTTTATTAAATTATTTTCTACTGATTCTGCCACAGACTGAGAAAACTTTCCAAAAAGAAATCCTCTATCAACTACTTTAGCAATCTGAACACATAAAAACATCAAATTTTACTCACCACTAGGGAAAGACTCCAAGATTTCACTGGCACTAAGTCTGTGCTTCAAACTTAATTCCTCTGTATTTTCCTCTGATGATCTGTCCGTTTCATTCACTTGTGATGATGTGACAGCAACACGGAGACTTTCAACTAGGGAGAAAAACATGAACAGTTGCTGAGGCCCTGGAAATAGATTCTTTATGCACAAATCAATGACAATGAATTGTAGAATAGTTCAGTCTGGAAAGGAATATTCAGAGATTATACAGTCCAACCCTTAGGTCAACAAAACTGGACCACTCAAAGTCCTGTACACACAAGCATGTAGTATGCCCAAGAATGGCCATTTCACAACACCTCTGAGCAATATGCTCCAGTTTTTGACCACCGTCATAGTATATATCTTTCCCTTTATTTTAATGGAATTCTCCATGTTCCAACTTGTTTCCTTGTCCTACCGCCAAGCACCTCCAGGAAAAGTTCAGCTTTTCTGTTACAGTCCTTTCAGGTGGTTGAAGACAGTAACATCCATCAAACCACCTTCCTTCAGGAGTGAGCTCTATCACCCCTCCTCAAACATCATGTTCTCTGGACCCCTAATCATCTTGGTGCTCTTTGCTGAACATTTTCCAATAAGCCTTGTGCTCAGGAGTCCAGTGCTGGACACAACACTACTAATATTTCTCACCATGGGTGAACAGAGGATGAACCATCTCCCTCAACTTGCTGGAAACACTTCTCCCATTTGGATGTTGGCTTCCTTTGCTTGCAAGCACATGTTTCTGGCTTGTGGTCAACCTGCTGTAGACTGGAACTCCCAGGTGCACTTCTGTAAAGCTGATTTCTATCTACTCAGTATCCAGCCTACATCAACACATACACTACTCCATCCCAGATGCAGACCTTTGCACTTGTCTTTGCCAAAATTCTTGAGGCTTCACTCAGTCCATTTTCCCAATCTGTTGAAGTCTATCCTCAATTGATTACTCCTCCAACTTTGTAGTCAACCATGAATTCGCTGAGAGTTTACACAATTCAATTGTTACTTCATTAATAAATATGTTGTAAAGTAATGATCTCAATATCTATCCTTCAGAGAATCCCTTAATAACACATTGCCAGCTGATCATAATCTTCTAAGACCAGAAATCCAGCCAATTTTCCAAGCAGTTATGCAGTCCTCATGTCACCAGTTCAGCTGCAAGGATATTACAGACAGCACAGGCAGCGTTGAAGGACTTGTAGAAAAAATGTGATGTTCTTTTCTCATTATAAAAGCCACCAGGTTGCTCAGATATTATTTGCCCTTGATGAATGCATGTTGGTTCTTCCCAATCACGTCTTGTCCTTCATGTGCTTGGAAATGTGTTGAGTCTTTGCTCTATCATCTTCGCAGAGGCTGAGGTGAGGATGACTGCTTTGTAGTACCCTGCATTTAATCTCTTGAGGAACAGTGTGATGATGTTTGAATTCTTCAAGTCCTCAGGAGCCTCTCCTGATCATCGTGGCCTTTTGAAGATGATAGAAAGCAGCCTCAAAATGACATTGGCTAGCTCCCTGAGCAACTCTGATTTATCCTGCCTTGTCTCATGGATTTGCGTATATCCAATTTGCTTAAGTGCTCCCTAAATTTATCCCTCTCTACTGTGCTTTACTGCTAAGAGTCTACTATTAGCTTAGGGAGTTGTATTATACATTACATTGCTGTAAACTTGTTAATGTGAGATGAAAAGATAACAACGATAACATTAGAATGAAAGAAAGTGAAAATTAAGAGTGGGTAGAACCAGGTGTGTCAGTACATATTGCCACTTTAGATAAAATGACATCTGTAATTTTATCCCTGTCTTATATTCCCCACCCAAAGACAAATTCTATCAATAACATTGCGCTCTGATTTCCAACTGATGACAGAGGTCAATATTTCCTGTTATCAGTTGAAATGTAGTTATTTGCCCACAGGTCTCACTCTAGGTAACACTACAATCTTGCAATACCTCTCAAAGAGCATATGGCCTATGGTGAATATGGATCAATTTATTAGGACTCATTTCAGCTGAGTTTAACAGGAATTTAGTTAAACTTCCAAATAGACAAGACACCCACAAATATTATTCCTTTCATTCCTTCAGAGGACTGCATCATAGACAGTGCAAGGCTATCTGGCCTCTGATAGTGTGCAGAAAAATTTGGCTGCTATAGTAATTATGGCAGGCATTTCTTGGAAAATCTGTCAAGATTGTCTGCAGTCCAGTTTGTACATAACCCTACAGGATTCTGATCTGTTGGCAAATCAACAAACACAGGTAAAGATAGGGGAGCATATGCTGTATCATGCTGTATCCACGTATTGTACTTCAGAAGGCTGTACTGCAAGATGACCAGTTATTGAAACGTTCCTCAAATTAAATCTAACGCCATGGTCCAGACTGTTTATAATAAGATGTTATTCACTAAACATATCCCCACTAAATGCATCTTACAGACTTCTTTGTGTTCTCTGCCAACTTTTGGCAGAGCCACCTCTTGAGACCTGGAAGAACCGTAGCACAAGGCAACATGGATATACTTTATTACCTTGAAATATCTGTCCCTATGGCAGCTGAAGAGCCACCACTGCACACTTCCTGCACAAACTCACCTTCTCTGAGTGCTGCTACCAGCAACGAAGCAACTTGTGGAGTTTCTCCATAATCAGGTTTGATAAGGAGGTGAGGTTCTACATGAACATCTTCAAATCCACTCATATCTACTAGTTCTGCATAGATATGCAATTTGTCTTCCAAGCAACTGCAGATTTGCTGGTCCTGGTTACTCAGTGATTCTGTCAACCGAAATTGAACACTGTATTAATATTTTTTATCCTGCAGGTAAAGCACATTCCAGATATTACTTCTGATCTTTATACCACGCAGACATTGCTAACTTGAGCTAGGCAACATACTTGTTCAACGTCTTTTATAAGTGTCCAGGAATTGAATTCATTCATAGTCTGTTCTGATGAAAACTGGAAAAGACACCAGGTAGGTGACTGCCTTATACCAATGAAATGGTTTTGGCTATACTCTGGAGACTTCTGCTGAACTCACAATAAGCAACACCAGAAAAGCTCCTGTCTCAGGCCAGCAGCAGACATGCTGATTCGGTGTGTCAGTGTCAAAGAACATGTGGTCTTTGTAGAGGATGCCTTCCCCTGTGGCTTTCCCCAGGCAGGACACTGCTGAAATTTCTCTCCTCACAGCAGTAAAAAGATGTGGAAATTGTGCACAGGGAAGCCAATGAAACAAAATTCAACTCTACATTTTAAAATAAAAATAAAAACAATAAAAGATTAAATGTGTCCTGGTTTTAGTTGATTTTCTTCCTAGCGTCTGATGGCATGCTTTGTTTTGGCTTTAGGAGAAAAACAATGCTGAGAACACACCAATTTAGCTGTTGCTCAGCAGTACTGCACAGAGCCAAGGTCATTTCAGTTTTACAGTACCTCATACTGTCCTGCCAGTCAGGGGCCGGGGGGTACAAGGAGCTGGGAGGGGACAGAACCAGGATAGCTGGCCTAAACTCACCAAAGGGATGCCCCATACAATATGACGTTGTGTTAAAAAACTGAGAGGAGCTGGCTGGAGGTGGGCAGCCACTGCTAGGGGTCTGAATGTGTGTTGGTTGATGGGTGGCAAGCAATTGTGCATCACTTGTTTTGTAAATATTTATTTACATACACACTATTATCATTACTATTACTTCTCTCTTCCTTTTCTGCCTTAGAAGGTAGTATCTATCTCAAACTACGAGTTCTACTCTTCTCTTTTCAATTCCCAGCCCCATTCCATTGCAGAAGCAACTGAGCTGAAGGCTGTGTAGTGCTTACCTGCTTGCTAGGTTAGACCACGACAGTCCTTGTGGTGAACAATGAAAGACTCGAAAACTTGAGATAACAACAGATCTGACCAAAGTGCATTAAAACAAAGTTGTAAGTGGTATAACAGCTTAACAGCTGCTGGTCACAATGCTGATCTTTTCGTTCACAGTGTAGCTTTATTTGCTTTCAAGCTTATTTTTCTTAGTTGTTCTCAGGTTGTTTATTGTCTCTGAAGGTAGGACTGAGCTTCATGGTCATTTATGATTTTGCTAGTTTGTACGCGCTCATGTTATACCAGTCTTCAATTTAATTTGGTACTTGTACTCAGTAGTACCATCATTCTCACAGTTCTCTCAACAAATATAGTAAGCTAAAAGAGTTGTTGAAAATTTTGTGTATACACAGGATATTCAAACTAGCATAAACTTATTCCTATGTCTCCTGCATGTGTTCCCAGTTTTATTACCAGTTAAGAAACTATTTAAAAATACCACTCACTACCTTGAGGCAGGTGGGTGGCAAGTTACGTGGCCTATGTCTACCAAACACTATTCAAAACTGTCAAGCATTATCAAAAAGAAGAAAATGCCTCTGGATCTGATGCAGCTCCTGCAACAGGCCCTGCAGCTGAACTAGAGAACAAACCCATACCAGTATCTATTGTCCCTGTCCACAGGGACAAAAAGCAGAAACAATAGACAAGAAAGTCAGTTCCTTCAGTAAGGAAGGAAGAAGAGGAAGAGGAAGACTACTCCATACCGCAGCCATCACAAGAAGTGGAAGAAGAGGCAGAGCTTATAAATGAGTCACTAACCACCTCACTACAGGTGAGCAGTGGATATGTGGAAATATGTGGAAAGATTTCAGCTGTCATCTAGGTGAAGCTGTTGTCACCTAACTGTTCAATGCTGGACAGCGGGACTGATCACATGAATTGAGTCGGGCATGGAAGTGAGGTAGATGGGAAGGGGGAACTGCAAAGAAAGAAAAAACTTTTCCCTCCCGCCCCCCGGACATGAATTCTGTCAGCTATGACAGAAATGTATCCCTACAAGGATGGTGTCTACCAGTAAAGTTGGCCACCATGTAAAGAGGTATCCAGTACCCGATGGAATTAGCTGTGCTGCAGGTGGTGTGTAATATTGACCTGAAAAATGTTCAATTATCTCAAAATCTGGATAGCATCAAGTGCATACAATCCAGATGGCAGAAATATGTACAGAGCTCACCATCATCGTACTCACTGGCAGTAATTACCTGGAAAGATGGAAATGAGCAAATACTGGATGAATTGGATGACTAACTCCAGCAATACAAAGAAAGTCGCTCCCTCCCCATGGGCCTGCTGAAATTGGTTCAGCAGCTTGAGGAGAAAGAAAGTTTTCTCTTCCATTTGTACAAACTAGTGTATCAGCTATTAGAAGTGTTCCTCTGCTTGAGAGAGGGGATTTAGTGGATACACACCATGTGCTGTGTGACTACAAAGAGAATATGAGGAAGTGAGATGGAAAATCCACTTCAACCTAAGAGGCACAGGTACGTAAGCTGCAAGAGAAAACAATCTCTGTTTATTGGACAGTGTAGATTTGATGGCCTGGCACATCAGAACCACTGGAGTGAAACGCACTAGTGGACACCAGCACACAACGTACTGTACTCCAATGTCATCAAGTTATAAAGGGGAAGAACATATCTGTATTTCTGGAGTGACAGGGAGATGCCAAGAGCTAACTGTACTGGAGGCTGAAATGAGCCTAACTGAAAGTGAGTGGCAAAAGCACCCCATTGCAACTGGCCCAAAAGCTCCATGTATCCTTGGTATAGATTACCTCAGGAGAGGGTACTTCAAGGACCAAAAAGGGTACTAGTGGGCTTTTGGTATAGCTGCCCTGGGGATGGAGGACATTAAGCAGCTGTCTACACTGCTCAGCCTTTCAGAGGACTCCTGTTGTGAGGCTGCTAAGAGTAGAACAGCAGATGTTGTTTGCTACCACAATAGTGTACCAATGGTATTATCACAGCAACCAAAACTCCCTGATCTCCATCCATATGCAGATTTGTCAATTGGAGAGCAAAGGAGTAATCATCAAGACTTGCTCACCCTTCAGTAGTCCCATATGGTCAGCATGAAAGTCCTAAGGAAGGTGAAGGCTAACAGTTGACTACCGTGGCCTGAATGATGTCACGTCACTACCAAGTGCTGCTATGCCAGACATGTTAGAAGTTCAATAAGAACTTCAATAGTAGTCAAAGGCAGCCAAGCCACAATTGATATTTCCAACATGTTTTTCTCAATTCCTTTGTACAGGCCACGATTTGCTTTCATTTAGAGGGGTGTCCAGTACAATTGGAATCAACTGACACAGGGTAGAAACAGTCCTACTATTTCCCATGGAATGATGCAGACTGTACTGCAGCAGAGCAGGGCCCTTCAACACCTGAAATACATCATCACATAGGACAACACAGCAAAGGAAGTTTTTGAGAAAGGGAAGAAAATTATCCAAATCTGTCTGAAAACTAGATTTGCCATAAAGCAAAGATAGCTCGAGGGACATGTAGTCAGGAAGAATAGCTCCATCTGGATCCTCTGGCAGAATGCACAAAAGGAGACTCAAGGTTGATCCTAGGATTTTGGAGCTGGAGACAGGCTTCAAAACCTGCAACATTCCAACTGAAAAAAAGATATTGGCAGCACAGGGGTCTGAGCTGCTTCAGAAGTAGCAGGTAGTGAAGCCACATACTCTTGCATCTGACTGCTTGTACTGGGCTGGATATTCAAAGGGCAAGTTCACTCCACACATCATATAGCTGATGCTATATGGAGTAAGCGGTCTGCACTGATCACACAGTAAGCTTCGACAGGAAACTCCAGTCACACAGGAATCATGGAAGTGATCATAGACAAAGATTTTGAAATCCTGTGAGAGGAGGAGGGGACGTATTGAAAAGGTAGTATGATAAAATACCAGAGAATTAGAAGAAATATGCCTTGTTCACTGATGGGTCTTGTATTGTGGGAAAGCATGGAGATGGAAGGCTGCTGTACAGAGCCCTACACAACAAGGTGCAGAAGCAATTGAAAGAGAAGGTGAATCAAGCCAGTTCGCAAGAGCGAAAGCCACACAGCTGCCTTTAGACATTGCTGAACAAGAAAAGTGTCTAATGCTCTACTTTCATACTGACTCATGGATGGTAGGAAAATGCCCTACGGAAGCAATGGAAACAGAACAACTGGCAGCACAGAGCAACCCCTTCTGGGCCACTGCACTTTGGAAAGATATTGCTGCGCAGGTAGTGAACACGGTTATAAAGGTATGTCACATAGACAGATGCCCATGTACCCACAAGTCATACCACTGAAGAACACTGAAACAACCAGCAAGTGGATCGGGCTGCTAGAACTGAAGGGGCTCAGGTAGATTTGGACTGGCAACATAAGGGTGAATTATTTCCTGCTCTGTGGGTCCATGATATCTCAGGCTATCATGGAAGAGATGTAACATATATGTAGGTTCAGGATCAAGGGGTGGAGTTGACCATGGACAATATATCATAGGCTATCCATGCATGTGAAATGTGCTGCAATTAAAAAAGCCAAATGGAAATTCTTTTCTGATTCAGAGAATGATGGCTGAAACATAAATATGAGGCTTGCCGGTTTGATTATATGACGCTTCTACAAACCCTCCACAACAAGTGCCGTGTGCTTACAGTGGAGGAAGCAACAACTGGATGGCTGGAAACATATCCTGTGCCACATACTGCTGGCTGAAATGCTGTCCTGGGCTTTATACGTATGTGTATATATATATATATATATATATATATATATATATAGAATCATCACTAACTTCCTTTTCAGTCTTTGTAAGTAGTTTTTATCTCAATGTACAAGTTCTACAATTTTTTTCAATTCTCTCCCACATCCCCCTGGGAGGGGATGAAGTGAGCAAAAGGCTGTACGGTGTTTATCTGCTTGCGGGGTTAAACCACAAGAAAATGCCACAAACAAGTGAAGCCATATCGTTACTGAATATTTGAAGTACTTCCATAAACTGGAAACTATTTGACCTCAAGGATAATCTTATAATTTCAGTGTTTATTCTGAAAAATACATTTCACTTTTTCTTTTGTACTCAAAATAACGTAACAAAAATATAAAGAATTTGGAAAAAGGCTGTGGACACTCCATCCAAGGAGGTGTTCAAGGTTAGGTTGGATGGGGCCTTGGGCAGCTTGGTCTACTATTAGATATGGAGATTGGTGATCCTTCATGGAGCAGGGGAGTTGGAGCTTGATGATCCTTGAGGTCCCTTTCAACCCAAGCCATTCAATGATTCTATGATGAAAAAATCATTCTCTTTCAGACAACTCACATAATACAATCAGACAATTACGGCTTTCTCTGCTGTGACTCTGCTTATTAAGCCATTCTGAACCCATCGGCCAATACATGCACGTTACTCATCTATCCTAACCTCTCAGGACATGGGAGCTCTCAGAGTGGCAGGTAAGGTACCGCACCTTGACATTTCTGAATTTTGCATGCTTTAGCCTCAGCGATACGTCTGTCCTCATCAAATTCACCCATTTTTCCTTCTTCTTGTTCCTCTGGACAACTGTTGAAATGAAGGAAAGACAGATAAAGTCATATTTGAACACATACTCATTTTCAGTACAGTGTTGCATTCATAAGAAACTACAAAATATCAACCAATTTTGGTACTGACTAGACCTGTGCCATTTGCCCACTTTATAAAAAGCAGAAACTAGGCATAAACAGGACTGAAGGATTCCTTTTTAATCCTGGCAAGACTGTAAGTCTATGGTGCTTAGCATAAGGCTCACATCTCAAGGTCTTCCCTGCCATACCTAATGGACAAATATCAAAGTGAGACTGGGGATTTACCCAGAATGGATGCATGGGCATTTGCAAGATTCAGTAAAGCATCCAGTGCCAAAGGCAAATGTAGGGGAAGCCTAAAGTGACAGGTAAGGACATCTTGGACAAGCAGAAAAGGTCTACTGGTTAAGTGAGAAATTAGAAGTAACACGGTAGGTCTGACAGAATTGATGATGAGGTTCTAGGGTCTCTGAACTCAACAAAGAATGGAAAGCACGCTGCCAAAAATACCCAAATTACCTCCTTTTCACTTTGAACTACCAGGGTGAAAACAAAAGCCTCTTTCTCTACCTTTCTACTGCATCTTGAATATGCCTCATCCAGCTGTTACGCTCCTCTTTGGAGTTTGTATGAACTTCATACATCTCAGGTCCTGCAGATGAAGCACTAATCAGAAACATCCCCCTTTCTTCATTGGCTACTTCTCTTACAATAAGCTTCTGAAGAGAGATGACTGAAGGCTTCTGATCCTGGGAAGAACAGTCACAATACACACAAAAATGTTTCTATCATAAAATACTACACTTTTAGAAGACAACAGTTTTTCAATTGCTTGAAGTAATTCTCCATCAGAAGAGGGGTGTCCAGCAGGGACAGGGGAGTGATCGTCCCTCTCTACTCTGCTCTTGTGAGGCCCCATCTGGAGTAGTGCACCTAGGTCTGGAGCTCCCAGTACAAGAAAGACAGAGAGCTGCTGGAGAGGGTCCAGAGGAGAGCCACAAAGATGATCACGGGGCTGGAGCACCTCCTCTACAAAGACAGGCTGAGGGAGCTGGGCTTGTTCAGCCTGGAGAAAAGAAGGCTGCGGGGTGACCTCATTGTAGCCTTTCAGTACCTAAAGGGAGCCTACAAACAGGAGGGGAATCAACTCTTTACAAGGGTAGATAACAGCAGGACAAGTGGAAATGGTTTTAAGTTGGAGGAGGGAAGATTTAGGTAGGATGTCAGAGGGAAGTTCTTTACTATGAGTGGTGAGGTGCTGGAACAGCCACCCAGAGAGGTTGTGGATGCCCCGTCCCTAGAGGTTCAAGGCCAGATTGGATGGGGCCCTTGGCAGCCTGGTCTAGTATTAAATGGTGGCCCTGCATGTGGCAGGGGGGTTGGAGCTTTATGATCCTTGAGGTCCCTTCCAACCCAGGCCATTCTGTGATTCTGTGAATTCTCATCCTGGTATACTCAGCCTACTTGTGTTCCCACCAAGTGTAAGCCTGCAAGAGTTGAGTATTCAGACATCTCATTTAAACATTTTGTTAAATACTTTATAGTATTCATGAATAAGTAAAGCACTGGGGATGTGCTAAAAACAAATACCAGAGGCTCAGTGATACTGAGACACTGTTTATATAGCATTTATATAATTTGGGAAGTTCAGTCTATGACCTTTAATGCATTTTATGTGTGCTTATTACCACCACACTTGCAGTAAAAATTATTCTTCTGTTTTGGTTTGTTGTTATTGTTGTTTTTTTTTTTGTTGTTTTGTTTTGTTGTTTTTGTTTTGTTTTGTTTATGCGACAATTTATTTGAGATAAATGAAAGAGCTTGCTCTGCTTCCTAGCTTCATAATCAGATGAGGCATATCACTAAACCTCCTTCTGTTGTCTTCATCTCTCTTCTCAAAAAAAAATACTCAATTTTGAAATGAATATTAATCTTCTGGTATATTACTGTTCTGAATATGTTATCAGTATTAAAAAAATTAAACAGTATGTGAGAATAATGTGGAAAAGGATCTAACCGTTGAGTAGTACATAAAAAAGTAACATATATATTCACAAGTCTGATAATATACTTACAACAGCTGCAAAAATGTACTTCTGATCTTTTTCTTGTAAGAACAGCAGCATATCAGTTAGAAGCAGAGCTAGGGTATCTCAAAATGAGAAAAAAGAAAATTACATTTTTAATGAAAAATATTACTGTTCCGCTTAACTTCTTTTTTTTTAATCTATGAAAAAGAAGAAATCCTGATCAGTAAGTAACTCACAAAATCCTACAGTAAAGCCAAATAAGAAATGCTTGGATTATCCTATGTATTGCACAAAGCAATGGCAAGCCATCACTTTGGTCTGCTGGGAAAGACCACACTTCCTGATATCCACTCTCCTGCAGCACAGTGCTAAAGCACTGGCCCATAGAAAGAAGAAACTCTCACTCAAATGTCCCCACAGCTTCTCCAAGCTTTCAAAAGTTAGCCGACTAAAGAGCATCCTACACAAGTTTTGTTTCGTCCACGTTGTAAAATATGCTTGCAGTTGAACATTATACTAATGAAAACATTTATGGAACAACAGTGAGCATACAAGCTTGTAAAGCTGTAAAACAAATATTAGCTAAAGGTTCAAAAAAAACAAATCCCAACATGTGAAAATTAGATTCTAGGCTTGAGTGCAAAAATTGGGCTCCAGCCAAATGTAGCTTCAGGATTTCTTTACCACTGCCTATGTCCCAGTACAACTGCAGAACAGTACATGATGGTCAGTGCTGTGAACAGTACGAATGCACAATACAATAACATGTGTCATGGAATGAAACTACAAACCGTAGGAAAGTGGACTAGAGCAGGAAATGCAACTGGGAGTAAAATGTAAAAAGCACATTTTCCCAAGCTTTGTATGCAAGTTTGTTATTTTAAACATACGAAGTGTTATCTATATACAGCTACTCTTCTACCTTCTAGTTATTAGTTGAATATTCTCAATACCATTCCCTCAGAAATTTGTGTTTGCAAGACAATGTGGTAAAACACTCTTAAACCAAACAATCTCCATATGTTATCTGCAGAGGACTTCAGTGCTAGGATGGAATACCTTTGAAACGACCAGTAGCTGTTTTCCAGTATACTAAACCTTCATGAAGAAGTATCCTCTCTTTCCCCATCAAGTCTTGCTTCCTAAAAATGTGTCCACTTTTCAGTTTTGTATATGTTTTGTTTTCAGTTCGGTTGAGAATTTCCGTCAGTTTTTGCCTTTTCTCATATTCATTAACTTTCAAATCTACTGCTGCAATCATGTCCTTAATTAAACGAAGGGCTTTGCATAGGTCTTTATGTTCCTCTGATCCTTCTGTATGAAGCAAAACATAAACAATGTGATACTGACATATTCAAGACAAGGTATTACTCAATACTTTGTGGGAACTAATGAACATAAGATGAGGCTAAAACTGATAAATCTAATTTTACCTTAAACCTGACAATGTTTTCTAGAGACACTGCAGGTTATTTGCCTTTGAGTTACCTATTAAAAGATGACAGTCACCTCAGATTTATTCACTAGTCAAAACTACACGTTCAGTATTTCTGACCTACTTATGAGCAGTTGAAATTTACTTTTTTTTTTTTTTTTAATTTAAGTAAATCATATAGTATAGTACACTTCTGGTTAAGAGTTAAACTTAGAATAGGACTTCAAGGACAAAACATTTACATTTGGATATGAAGCTTTCTACAATACGAATTTATAGCCCATTTTAGGGGCAATATCTGTAAGCTAACAGCATTTATAAAATGCTCTACAAAACTGCAGGATAATTAATGCTTTGTTTGAAAAGCTGAACAGTAATTTATGAAGCATTTGCCTAACCTCACAAGACACTTGACTGTAATTCATTTCAAAAAACATGCAGAACATGCCTGAATTAGTTCACGTGCTCTGTTCAGTATTTTTCATTAAAACATGTTCTTCTGGACTTCTAGCCCTTATCTGGATGGAATCTTGTAGATTCTCATATCATAACCTTGGCAAAGACTTCATATAACAGACAATTGGGCAATATCTGCCTGAACAATAGATACTTTCATTCTCTGGTTCTGCACAGAACAGTGAATTTCATCCTTTGAATAAATTGTAACAGTACATATTCCTTTCATTAGAAACGTACTACAACTTCAGACGTGAAACAACGCTCAGCTTTTATTCACCTTTTGTGTACAGCAATATCCTTTCAACTAGAACAGGGTATTTGGTGATTCGCTGAGTAACAAGCAGAATGCACTCTGGGATTCCTCGGCGGCGTGCCAACAAATTGCTGTTCCTCAGCTGCACAGACACAAATACATGCTATCAATAATAAATTCATATTAAAGCACCAACTGACTAATAACAAATATGATCTCAATGTGTTAGAATGAACTAAAATAAAATGTTGGGTTATCTGAACTATCCCCAAGTAAAAGTTGCTGCCCTGAGGGACGAGGTATGCTGTAACAGGAACATGCACGTAGCACACACTAGATGCCAAAGCTTTCAAAAAATTGAAAGAAAAATATGATTTATCAGCTTTCTCTTGAAAAAGGAAAAATCTTGCCCTTTTTATTATATGAAAAATATTATATGAAAAATTTAAAGTAAAAACTACATAGTGATCATACTCTTGTGAAAGCTTACTTTAATAAAATTTTGGAACTTCTTGTTTTGTTGCAACTCTTTGAAGAGACTAACAGCTTCTTTCTGATGGCTGCAAAATTCTCCATATATTTTCTTCATTTTATTTGCATTCTCTTCTGAAAACTGAAGAAATTAATAGTTGAATTGTGCTCAACAAAAAAGCATATACCTACAGACGTGTAGTATGTATAATATTTTATAATATGTATAGAAATGTATAGTATTTTACATACATACAGCACCAGCAACTCATATGCTACTTGTTTCTCAAATTCTCTGAATTTCATTATCAGGTCCTACCAATGCAGAATAAAAACAGGCTAGCCATTTTAGGAGCAAGAAGAGGAATGCAAGCTGGACAAGTACAAGCATTACATTCTTGCCAATAAAGTAGACTAACTACTGTAACACCGCTTCATCTATTTGCAAACACACTTCTTTTGAAGCTTATTCACATTCATCTGATCTCTTCAGTTCTAGGAAAGAGTACAGCTAGTATAAACAGAGCGATCACCCCTCCTCTCATGAACAGCAATCCTTTATATGCCATGCATAATTGACTGAACACAGAAAACAGACTACCTATTTTTTTCTTGTTTTCATTATTCACTCTTCTGCTTAGCCGCTGACAAAGTGAATCCATTGCTTTTGTTTTCAGCAATATGTGGTATTATGGGAGCAGCTTCCTACCAAGAACAGTATCTCAAGTTCATCACTTTGTCACTTGTACCATAAATGTAAGAGTTTATCTCCAGTTCCTAACAGTTACCCGTCAGCAATGATTCTCTTTTATTGCTACTTCAGCCTGCAACATAAAGGGGCCAAACTTTGAATTTTACAAGGCAATCTTAGTCCTCTTCCCACCCAAAGAAGCTTTAAACTTTGTATGCTGTTTGAGAACCTTGAGTACATAAAGAATTAACAGAACTGATGCCTCTCTACCTGTTGCACAAGGATATCTCCAATTCTGCTGATTACAAAATTACGCTCATTCCCCTCCTCACACGATTCCTGCCGCCTCTCCCTCATTCTGAAAAAGAACTGCCTATGGATCTCCAGTAGCTCATCTAAGCAGGGGAATATTCTGTCCACCGTGCTGTGGTCCAGCTGTAGTTCTTCTTTCATCCCCTTCCTGAATATTTCAGACATAATGTAGAGGGTGTGGATGTGATGCACTTCTGTTTGCATCAGCTCTGCAGTATAAAAGAAAATAGCATATTAATCACTTTACACTCCTTCATTATACAATCATTATCACTTTTTCTGTATTAGCCTCAAACCTAATAGATTATATTAGTCAGAAGTCTTAATTTATCTAGCTCTAGAGCACCTCTCATAACTGTCCTGCACTGAGTGTACTGGGGTAGCCACTGCTTAAACTGGAGATGGGATGAGTTCCAGTGAACAGGGTAAAAGTGTCTAAGGTAGTCAGCGTGTTCCAACACTTCCTCAACTCTATGAAGCATTGTAATTTGTGGCAAAAAATGTTCTTTGAATTTTCTTATTATTCTAAATCAAACCACTCATTCTACCAGACATAAAATAGGCTTGGTTCCCTCTATTTTCCACAATAAATTGTTTTTAAACCTACATGAAGCTTTGATATACTGACCAAAAATGACATCCTGCCTCTTGGCAACATCCTTTTCTTGCTTGTTACAGAACATCGGATCCACAACGAGACTCCATGATTCAGCCTCAAACTCCTGTGCATCTGAACTGATGTCAGTCCACTGAGATGAATCCACCTCAACTGTGGTAAAATGTACATCTCATAAATAACAACCAGAGAAACATTAAGTGACATTCCTTGGACCATCTATTGATTAAGTAAGGGGGACACATCACAGGGATGAACTTCAAACAACCCCTGCAAATGCTGACAGTGGTATTACAGAGGAAAAGCTTGCCAGATATCAACAGCATTTCCAAAGTGTCAAAATGCTAATGTGACAACAAAGTAAGAGAACAAAGAAAAAAAATCTTCTCTCAGATTAAATCCTTTTATCCTTTTTTGGTTGGGGGAACTTTTTACAATTTAAATACAAAATCCAACATTGTCAAAAGTAGCTGCTATTCTGGAGACCGTGCGGTCATTTTGCAGATAACTAGCATGGGATATCTGCACCATCCTTTGTATGCCTTTTGGCTTAGAGATTCAACCTCACAACTTAAGTACAGAAAACGCTATTTCTATTTATCTCACAATGATGCGCAGCCATTTTAGGAGGGCAGTTCACCAGAGGTAGATAAGATTTGGGGTTACTGAGGGAACAGAAGTGATATAGATTAATGTTTTGCAGTATGCACTGCTAATGGAAATGACCTAATGAGTGCAGAAATAAAGTATATTGTTTCTAAAAGGATGCAAAATATTTTTCCCCTACCATTTTCCAGTGGCAATACCATGCAAAAAAATTCTAAAAGTTATTGAAGAGTTACTTTAATTGTACTTTTACTGTAACAAAAAAAGTTGTATTTTAAGACTGTTGTATCTGATTGTATCACTTTTATGAAGGCCTGGCTGTAACCAATAAAAATAGATGTTCTACTTCTACTAGATGAAGAAGCTTCCTACATCAACTTACAAATTTTGCACTTTGCAATACGGGTTAAAAAAGGCAACACTTGTGCAATACTTCCCACCTTCCATCACAAAAGAATCCATTGAAGAATATGTCCCTAATGCCTGTAACATTTCTTCAGATCTTGACTTGGTCCTCCATGTGCTCGCCTCAGAGTCCTGCTCAGGAAATGGCATAGATCTTCTACGGCACAAAGGAAAAAAAAAAAAAAAAGACATTTATTTAATTGTTGCATTTTCCTAGAAATATTCAATTATGTATTTAACATTTGGTAGCTGTCCTCTACCTTTCAAAACTGGTACCAGGGACACTTTTGGACAAGGAATGGGACTGCTGCAAGGCTTCCCTCCTCCCAGCAGATAGTCCAATAGGTACAGAGGAAGAAGGATGCATTGACAAAATCCCAGGTTGTGAAATGTCTCCAAATGACAAATCTGTGAAGCAAAGCATAAAGCAACATTTTGACAATGTACAGTATGTCACCAATAGCTTTACACTGTAAAATGCTAATCAGTTTTCATATACACCTATGCCTGATAGCACAACTGTCCCTCCCCAACAGTAAAGTCCATGATGCTTTACCACAGAATATAAAGATAAGACGCTCAGCAAAGTGGAATAGCTCTGATGTGGATATGGAAGAAAACAATCCTCAGTTATAAATACTCTCACATCACAACCTGAACCCAGGGATATCTCAGTACATATACACACGGTGAATACCATACTCAAAAGCACAAGACAGAAAAAAACATCTACATTTGATTTCCAGTCTCACTGAAAACAAAATTTAGTAAAATTCACCCTCCTTTAAGTAGGTGAGAAGATAACTGAATTTCTTCATGAAATCCTGCTTATCTGTATCAGATATGAGAAGTGCAACTATTTTTCCTGATGATATTGAAATGAAAACGAAACACAACAATGATGAAGGAATGTTTGTGTTGTCATTCCCATGACTTCATAAAAGAGACTTAACTTATTCACACCATATTCACACACACTCACTAGTCTACTAAATACTTACTTCCTATGCCAACTTGAGATTTGCTTTTGCTATGGTACCTCTCCTGGGATTTCTGAAAAAGAATGATTTTATGAAACTACAATGAAATCAGCTCTGACAACACACTCAACAGTCAAGTTAGTAATTCACTTCCATGTATCATCATACAAAAGAGCCTCATGAAAATGATCCTAAACTATGGTCCTAATTTTAACCAGTAACAAATAAACCTAAGACAAAGTAGAACATTATTTGTACTGCAACACAAACCTGAATCTGTCTACTCTAAACAGAGTCACTGAGCTATTGCTTTCTGAATTTCTATATCAATACTGCCACAAAGACTCCAAAAAAAAGGAAGTAATCTTCAGGGCCTTATATTCAAATATTTTTGAACATTTTTGAAGGATTTGTGGCAACACACTGCCTGACGGAGCTTCAGAATCAGAGACAGAATTGATTCCCCTTCCAAGCCATACTTTCCAACCTGTAGTGAAAGCTTGCTGTATTTAGACAATGTATTTTCCCTGAGGTGGGTCAGTTACATTTTCTGTAACTCTTTCTCACTGAGATGAGTCAGAAAGTGGCCCTTGTCTCCTCTTGACAAATAGCTTACCAGTTCCAGTACTTAAACTGCCAATTCAGCTGTTCTAGTGTCCTCTACTCAGCCAAGTATTTGTGCTAGGCTATAACATGACTAAAAGAAATATATGACCAATATAAATAAAAACGCCAGGTTTTTTTTGAGGGGCCCAAAACTGAACACAGTACTTGAGATGCGGCATCACCAGCACTGAGTACAGATGAGTATGGATGAGCACTTCTCTGCTCCTAACAGCTATACTATTTCTTATACAAGCCAGGATGCCAATGGCTTTCTTGGCCACCTTGGCACACTGCTAGCTCATGTTTAGCTGAGTGTCAACCAACACCCCATGTCCACAGTCTTCCAGCCACTCTGCCCCAAGCCTCTACAGTTCCCTGGGGTTGTTATGGCCAAAGTGCATTTTGATGGCCTGGCACTTGGTCTTGTTGAACATAATACCATTGCCCTCAGCCCAAAGATGTAGACTATCCGTATCCCTCCGCAAGGCCTTCCTACCTCCAGGCAGACTGACATTTTCTCCCAACTTGGTATCACGTGCAAACTTACTGAGGATGCACTCAATGCCCTCATCCAGGTCATTAATAAAGATAATGAACAAGACAGACCCCAGTATCAGACCCTGAGGAACACCACTCATGACCAGTCACCACTTGGATTTAACTCCATTCACCACCACTCTCTGGGCCTGGCTCACAGGCCAATTCTTTACCCAGCAAAGAGTGTACCTGTCCAAGCCACAAGCTGACAACTTCTCCAGGAGAATACTGTGGGAGACAGTGTCAAAGGCTCTGCTGAAGTCTGCATTAACAGCTTCTCACCCACCAGGTGGGTTAATCATAGAAGGAGGTCAGGTTGGTCAAGCAGGACCTGCCTTTCATGCTAGCTGGGCCTGATCTCTCAGCTGTCCCGCATATGCCATGCAATCTCACTCAAGATGATCTCTTCCATAACCTTCCCTGGCACCAAGGTCAGGCTGACAGACCTACAGCACCCCTGATCCTCCTTACAACCTTTCTTGTAGTTGGGAATCAAACTGGCAAGCCTCCAATCTCTGGAACCAGGAATACTGATAGATAATGGAAAGCAGCTTGGCAATCATCTCCACTAGCTCCCTCAGCTGAGCCTCTAAGTACCCTCAAGGCACACCATTACTCGTCCTTTTAATTTTTCAAAAATACAAGTAACTCTTCAAACTCATTCTTTATCCTCTTCCAGAAATTCTTGCTCAAGCACAGTGCTTGATGATGCTCACATAAAATATTTCAATACCCTTGTAATGTTTTGCATATAGACATTGGGTCTGGGAAACTTCCTATACATTTTTTCCCCTTCACCATTTTTTCTAGAACCCGTAGAAAGCAATTCTAATAAGAATAGTGTGGTAGAGGAAGTTACCTTAGTGCACACAGGGACACACTCCTTACAATGCTTATGCACAATCACATTGCAATCTGAAAGAGAAGTAGATTTCAAAGTTGATGAGGAACAATGGTCTCAGGCTGCAGATGATGTTAACTCTGAAGTTTCGCTACCCTTCCTCCTTCAGGCCCCCTTATTAAAATAGCCTGGATGTTGCTCTCAAGCTGCTGCCCTTGGCTGGGAAGGAGCCTGTTGTACTGGGCTGGAAGATGCCCATTGTCCCTTTTGAAGCTGCCACCTGCTTTCCTTCCCCACCCTCCCCTGCCCAACTCAGCCCATTACTAAAATAGGTACTTTCAAATCCAGGCAAGGTTTGGTTTAAAACAGAATGCTGAAACAGGATCTCCAAGCAGGTTTCAGAGCACAGCAAATTCACACATGAAAACCAGTACTTACAAGAGCACTGCAGTGACTCTTTTCCTAGGAGGGCCTTTTCACAGGCCATACATGGCATAATTCCAGAGAAGGTTCCATTTATAAAATTATGTCTGTTCAGCTTCTCTTTGTCTTTGGTATCTTTATTTTTTGTCTTCATCCCCAGTAGCACAATCAGGAAAAAA